GAATTGCATACATGCTTATAATACACCACATATAGCCTGCTGCATTGGAGTTTGCCTGGTAACAGATGACTCAGAATAGGTCATGCACTGAAGTCAAGACACACATAGGCTGCCTGTACACATACCCTGATGTTATAAACGCGACTGCTCGTTTATTGTTCTGGGGAGATCGAGGCTGATGTTTTGCAGAGCTCATCTCCACCACACATGTGTGTAAATAAAATCATTGTTTTGACGTACAATGGACCTCCAGTCGTTCGTCTCTCATCTCAAATCACGAATCAGGACTTTAGATAAACCTTAAAAAGATCAGATTTTCTCATCACCTTCACATCTGTAACAAATTCTTCATCGTTTTGCTTTTTCACTCTGCAGAGAGGCCGTTTACATCATCCAGTACAACATTCGCTCGTTCATGAATGTGAAGAACTGGCCTTGGATGAAGCTCTTCTTCAAGATAAAGCCTCTGTTACGAAGTGCCGAGGCTGAGAAGGAGATGCAGACCATGAAGGAGGAGTTTGCTCGACTCAGAGAGGAGTTGGCAAAGTCGGAGGCCAGGAGGAAGGAGCTGGAAGAGAAGATGGTCATGCTCGTGCAGGAGAAGAATGACCTTTACCTTCAAATACAAGCAGTATGTAAACACTCAGCCCTGAGTGGGACAAAGTGGTCTGTTTGTATTGATTTTGTTCTGCCTGATTTGAAGATCAGATTAAATTAAAAGATGATCAATAATGAGGTAAGATAAGAACTAGTATAATTGATCACTGCAGGGAAACTGGAGGAAAACAAACTTAAAAGAAGAAGAAAGCAGACCGACCATGATGTTAAACTTAAAGCAAATAATGCTTATAACAGTGTTACAACATATAAAGATTTGAGTCAAAGGTTTCTGGTGTTGGTGCACAGAAACAGCCCACTGCTACTGTGATAATCTATTAATGCAAGAACAAGTGATGTAAAGAAAATGCTGGTCTATCTTTTATTCAGACATGAAGGTCAGTCAGTACATGATTTATTTAAGTACTGTGAGTTCACCTACGCAGGCTGTGATGCTCGAGGAAACGAAGAGCAAGATCTCTCTGCTGTGCAGAATAACGCCATTAGAATCACCATCCTCCGAAATTAGAGCTCATGTCAGCGCTTCCTAGAGTTCGAGCAGCTGTTGAAGGAAGCGTGAATGTTTCCTCCATGCTGTTAAGAAACCACTAAAGAGAAAAACGAGAAAAAGATAAGATAAGACTTTATTGATCCCAGAACGGGGAAATTTTTGCGTCACCTCAGCTCAGGTACAGATATTAGAATGAAATATAAAAATACAAATAAGTACAATCAATGAAGAAAAAGTAAGATAATACACTATATACAATGGTAGCATACACAGTATGTGATTATGGATATAGTTGGAAATATGGAAGACATAAACTATATAGCTTGCAAGGTCCATTATGCATGAAGTGGTGACCGTGGATGTTCACAGTGTCCAGTGACTTATGACATCGTGATTGAGGAGTTATAGAGTCTAACTGCCGTTGGGATGAATGATCTGCGAAAGCGCTCCTTCCTGCAGCGAGGGTGTTTCAATCTCTGACTAAAGGAGCTGCTCAGCCCACTCACATACTCATGCAGTGGCTGATGTGGGCTGTTCATGATGGATGTCAGCTTTACTAACATCCTCCCCTCACCAACCACCTCCACAGACTCCAGGGGACATCCCAGCACGGAGCTAGACCTCCGCACCAGTTTGTCAATCCTGCTCCTGTCCCTGTCCGACAGACCTGCTGGGAGCGACAGCGAACGGACAACGTGGTAACACGAGACTGACCCCTGTGCAGAAATAATCTTCAGTTTATTAAGGAAGTTTTAAATAAGAAGAAAATGACCTGACAGGATGTTAATCTGAGCACTTTGAAGAAACCAAATGTGGAGGGACTGCACAAACACATCACTGGAACATTTCTGTGGCCTGATTATTGACTGCCAGCTGCTTCCATATAACTTTCTGAGGGAATTCATCGTTGATTTGAATCAACACACAGTTTGGATCTGACTCAGAGCTCATCCAGATCACTGCGACTGATTTTGAATGCATCCTGATCACTTCCTGAACATACGTCTGAACACTTCCTCTAACGTCTGCTTCAGCTCCGCCGACACGAAGACAGACAAAGGAAATAGCTTGTAGTATTCATTAAAAGTTGTCTTTATACCATCACAGAGAAAGGGAAATGGTTGGCTTCTGCACCGTCAGCAGGCAGCTCAGCTATCCTTAAAGGAAAATGGAAGATTCCAAACAGATCCCTGTGCAAAAATATGAAATATAAATATGTGTCCAAACTTTAGAAAAAGAATAACTATCAACCGAGGTTAAATTAAAAATTTACTGCACTATAACAGTCATTGTGTCCCGGTTCCTCAGGAGAGGGAGAACCTGTGCGATGCTGAGGAAAGATGCGAAGGCTTGATAAAGAGCAAGATCCACCTGGAAGCCAAAGCCAAAGAATTCTCCGAGAGGCTGGAGGAAGAGGAGGAGATCAACGCTGAAATCACCGCCCAGAAGAGGAAACTGGAGGACGAATGTTCTGAGCTCAAACGGGACATAGACGACCTGGAACTTACCATCGCCAAAGTGGAGAAGGAGAAATATGCCACTGAAAATAAGGTGCCTCTGATGATTTTGTTGTCTGAACTTTTAAAGCTTTTGTTTTTAACAAAGTTCTCTCCTCAGGTTAAGAATTTGATCGAGGAGTTAACGACTCTTGAGGAAAACTTGTTGAAGTCCTCAAAGGAGACGAAAGCTTTGCAGGAGGTGCACCAGCAGACTTTAGACGACCTCCAGGCAGAGGAGGACAGAGTCAGTTCTCTAATAAAGACAAAGACTAAGCTGGAGCAACAAATTGATGATGTAAGTATAAAAGGCTCAGTGCTTCTTAAGCTGAAGCCAGCACCTAAACGTGTAATGTTAGCCGCAGACTTAGTGATTGATGTAAACATCCTGCAGTTGGAGGGGCTGGTGGAGCAGGAGAAGAAGTTGCGTGCCGACTTGGAGAGATCGAGAAGGAAACTGGAGGGAGATCTGAAGCTGTCCCAGGAAACCATCATGGACCTGGAGAATGAAAAGCTGCAGGCGGAGGAACAACTGAAGAAGTGAGTTAATAAATAGATTACTGAAAAAAAAGATTTCTCCAAGCAATGAATCCAAGCTTTTACCTCCTAAACTCAAGAACATTCTGTTCAGCAGTGTGCGTCCAGACCAGTGTTGGTCAAGTTA